CTTTCACTCAGTAAACGCTCTGAAGCATAAAAATTCGTGCTTACCGGTTTTACCGTTGAGGTAACATCAATGTCAAATCTCGACAAAACGAGGAAATTTTATTCAATCTACAACAGTTGTTATCAAAAATTAAAAAGGGGTAAACAGTACAATATCAAACGCGTTAATCCTACCTTCATATTGCAAACGGTGTTAAGTTAATTTCTAAAACAGCTTTTGATAATGGTTACTACTGTTGCTAGTGTTGCGCACTTCGAAGACAATAAAATTTTTGTCTGTTCAATATTCTCAATTCGAGGTCTACTAATGTTTCACTTTATATTGGCCTCTTTCTAGTGTCTCATGACTGGTCTTATGTATCACAGACCAGCGGATTATGTGAATTATTTACAAGAATGTTTGGAGAAGATCAAGCGTCAAGGCTTGGCGGGTGTTCGTTGGGACCTGTTTTTGGAAACACGTCCGACATCCCCACTCGCATTAGCTTCCAAAAAAGGTGAGTCGCTTTCACGCTTTGATCCTTATCAACACGAGCACAGCTGCAGATCTAACATCAAAGTATGAACCACTGCCTGGATTGGATTCTTTGAAAGCCCAAATACGATCAGATGCATCAGTTATTTGTGTCTTGGGTGGTCCCGGAGTAAACAAAACCAATTATTCGCAGGGACTGATTAACCATTATCCAACATTTGTTCACCTGTGTATGGGGGAGTTGCTACGCAACAGAGCAAAACTGGAGGTTCACCGTAAAGGTTCGAAGTGGACCAATTCAGTTGAACAGATAAACGCTGGAGAGCTTTTACCACATGTTTGTGATATTTAAAACTTTTATCTTTTCCCCTTTATTAACTCCAGGAAATGGTAGTGGAATCTTTGATTTGGAATCTTAACAAACGCTCCCAGGCCTCTGGATTCATCATTGACGGCTTTCCGCGTACGCAACAACAATACGAAGAATTGAAAAACCAGGTGAATGACGTTTAAAGTTGACCATGGTTACAGTCAGGTTTACACCAATTGCACGGGTGGACTGCCACTAACCTTGCATTTTTGTCAGTCGTTTGTGTTCTTACATTATTAGCCCTGATACTTGCTGTGCAGCAGCCGTTAACAAACTGAAAGTAAACATTGCTTTCACGTTTTTGGGGATATCTAATGTTGCAGCTTTCCATGATATGTGGAACATACACAATCACGTTTGGGATATATATTTTAACAGCCTGCAAGCATTAACGCTATGACAGTGGTTTCAGTTCGTCAGACATAATAAAATCAAGGCCAAATACATAAACAGGTAAATCGTATTGTGTGACTTCAGCTCCACAAATTTCATCAAAAGCTTTGGAATTAAAGGTTCAGCCTTACTGTTTTGGACATGATTTTGAAATTCTTGACAGCGTTAGCGGTGCTTATCCGAATAATACGCCGTTCATCTTATGCGCTCCATTACACTTTAATGCACAGAAACTGCTTGCGGTAGGAAGTTGCTGTTGATTACTACAATTACTCCAAGAAGACAGTTTCTGTCCAAACTGGGCACAAATCTAAATACGGAGAATCCGTTCTGAACACGACATTGTTTTATAAGCGGAAATATTTTCGGACAGAGCTGAAGGCTGTGCCGCAAATGTTAGTCGGGTCGATGATAAGCAATCGCGTACAACCGACAGTGTTTATTGAACAATTTTACAGAAAATCCATCATTTCCGAGCTCCTGGCGTGGTTCCGTAGCTCAGCTGGTAGAGCGCTTGCTGCGTTAAAGCATGGCGTTTCCGCCGCCGGTTCGAATCCGCCGCAACCCTGACTTTTCACAGTTGGGTCTCATCTGAAGTCATAAATCTGCCAAACCACTTATCAGCAATACAATCCTCTATTAATAAATAATGACACTGATTTTTGATCATTGTGGTTAACGAGTTTCGCCGCATTAGTCACTAAAAA